TTTTTTTTTTTTTTTTTTTTTTTTTTTTTTTTTTAATTAAACAGCTATCCAAGTTGACTACGATCTTTACTTCAGCGATCCAACACGCAGTAGTGCAATGCAAGTTATTCCATTCTTTACTGGAGCTAAGAAGAGCTTAACGATCGCAATGTGGGTGCAATTCACTCAGCGCGACGAAGCTGGAATATTCTTTACCTTATACGCCGTCAGGTAAATTTAACGACAATCAGCCATCGAAGGTGAAATTTTTTTATTATTCAACATGTATATATAACACATGTATATGCATTTCAGCTCTCCTCATGTACCTACTAACCGCAGACCAATGCTACAAGCACACAGTAACGGTGTCCAAGTTTCCCTATTCCACGATTTACAAGACGTTTACTTGCCATTTAGAGAATATGCCACGATCAACGATGGCCAATGGCATCACGTTGCCGTTGTTTGGAACGGTGATAACGGTGGCGAATTGACACTTATTACAGAAGGTTTAATCGCTAGTAAGACCGAAGGATATGGTAGTGGAAGAACTCTACCTTCTTAGTGAGTATAGTAACTTTGCTTTACCGTCAATGAGCTCGGAGCCCCACATAACTATCAATCTTTCCCAAAAATTCCTCTACATTTAATAATTAACACACGTCTAATGTCTTAGTGCGTGGGCGGTGTTGGGTAAGCCGCGCAGCGAAGTCGGCAAAGGATACACCGAGTCCGGCTTCCAGGGTCACCTCACGAAAATTCAGATCTGGGACCGAGCGCTTCACGTAACGAATGAAATTCAAAAACAAGTACGAGACTGCCGCACCGAGCCCGTCCTTTATCAAGGGCTCGCGTTAACCTGGACGGGCTACGACGAGACCATCGGTGGAGTCGAGCGCATAGCCCCATCACACTGCGGTCAACGCGTCTGTCCACCGGGCTACGGAGGCAGCAAGTGCCAACAGCTCGAAACCGACAAGATACCACCAAAGATCGACTACTGTCCCGGCGATTTGTGGGTTATCGCAAAGAACGGGTCGTCGATTGTCACGTGGGACGAGCCCAAGTTTAGCGACAACGTGGGGATAGTAAGAGTTCAGGAAAAGAGTGGACATCGATCCGGACAGACTCTCTTATGGGGTGCTTATGACATTAGCTACGTAGCGTACGATCAGGCTGGAAATTCTGCGAGCTGCAGCTTCAAGGTTTACGTGCTGTGTAAGTATTGCGATGCTTACATATAATTAATGATTGATCGACGACGTTGTCGCTTTAAGATGAAATAACAACTATTTCGTGTCATGCACATTTTGAGTAAAAGTATCTTTCAAGCAGTGATTCAAAGGATATAGGAGGTGGTGAGGCCGTGGAATACGAATGTGGGAAAGCAATTGTAGCTAATAGAGTTAATAATAGTTAAAATTGCCTCGTATGCTAAATATTATACGAATAATTATAAGTTCGTAAGCTATATTTAACGGGCGTATTATCGTCTAATTTCAAAGCATTCTAATATCCTCCTAATGAATATGTTTAGACGACTTTTGTCCGGAACTGCCTGATCCAATTGGTGGAACACAGCAGTGCAAGGATTGGGGCTCGGGTGGTCAATTCAAGGTTTGTGAAATTTCTTGCAATCCAGGACTTCGATTTGCTCAAGAAGTGCCAAAGTTTTATACGTGTGGAGCCGAAGGTTTCTGGCGCCCCACTACCAATCCTGGCTTACCACTTATCTACCCAGCTTGCACAAGTATGCAATTTGCCACTTTGTTTGTCACTTATACGTTCTCATCGCGCGCACGCACGCGCAACGGAGAGAAAGAGAGAATAAAATTTTCTAAATTAATGTCTCATTTAGGCTCTTCGCCAGCACAGCGTGTTTTCAAAATTAAGATGAACTTCCCAACTTCCGTGCTTTGCAACGAGGCTGGACAAGAAGTATTGAAACAGAAAGTCAGACATGCCGTTAATTCATTGAACAGAGACTGGAACTTCTGTTCTAATTCATTCGAAGGTAATGTTTCCTTTCACAATATAATACTTTCTTCAACTTCCGCTTCATTGGTCCTCGTGCATTCGGTCGATTCAATAGAAAAGAATAATGATAGATTACTTATATACATTACTACAACCATAATTAAAATCCATTCACAGTTCGGAGTCAATAATTGTTATCATTGCACACATTTATAGGGACGCGCGAATGCAGAGACCTGAACATCAACGTCCAATGCGATCATCGTACGCGTTCGGCGAGACAAGCCCATGACGAAGATGCCGGAACATATACAATCTCCGTTGATGTTCTTGCAGAACCGTAAGTTATTCCTTACCATTGTACACCTCTGACCAACCAATCGTAAAAATTGTGAATTCTTATTGTGATATCAGTATATAAACCCTTTATATATACATACATACATACATACATA